CCGGCCAATCCCGGCCGCCCCCTCCCCACGCGCGCCCCCTGCCCACCGCCGCCAGAGGCGCCAGGGCGCGGGGCGCAGCCGCGAGGAGCGGGCACCGGAGGATGAGGTTCTGGGACGAGGAGATGGCTCTGGAGGAGATGGTGCAGAGGCTGGATGCGGTTTCCAGGCGCACGGGTAGGAGGAGGCTCCCTTCCATTGTAGATCCGTAAGCTTGACATCATCCGCAGAATTGCAGGGAAATGCGTGTCAGGGCCACACAGCCGCCTGCACTGCTCACTAGCACTGATGGTAGGGAGGGACAGACGGGTCGGCATGCTCTGCTGGCTGACATGTTTCCGGGACTGTCGGCTGTTTCATGCCACTGGGATGGTTACAGTGATTGCATATCTGGCAAGGCTTTCTCAAGGGGCAGGCGCTGCTCCGCTGTGGAGCCGGCCCTGTGGTGGCTCTGAAATCCCCCCCGCAGCCAGCCTCAGAGTGGAGGCAGCTAGAGAGCAGCGACAGGGATGGCGCAGGTGCCGAGCTGAGGACCGGCCTAGTCCAGGGCCTTCAGAGCCAGGGAAGGGATGGGGAAGCCATCTGAACTCCTAGGAGGAAAACCCTGATTGATCTGCTGGCCCCTTTCCCGTCATATAATGTGACCCTCAGGCAAATGTCTGAATACTGCGGGGGCCGGTGAAACACGGAAGAATAGCGTGCTTGGACATTTGTTTTCTGTATTGATTGAGAGATTACTTCAAATGAGCTGTGAGGAGATTTTGGCAGAGGCTGAGCTGGCAGCTTGCGTCTCGCTGCCGCTTCCACCGGGCTGGCACACCCACGTCTCCCTGCTATAGAACGAAAGGAGAATGCAGCATCACCTAGTTTTCCCTGAAACGAAGAGGAAATAGATGTGCAGTGGAAGTAAGCTGCGGATGTCGGTCCAGCGCCGCCGTGTGTTGGGTGACGTGGACTTTGCCCAGTGGTCTCTGGCCCCTTCCTGGGAGGTGAACATGTTAGGAGCTGGTTGCCTTGGGTGTGGCCCCCGCCCGCTGAGTGCCGGTCTGTCTTTGTGGAAGACATTCAGCTTGTAAAGATGGTTTTCGAGTAAAACTATTGAGCTCATTGTGTATGGAGCAAAAGAAAACAGCCATTCTGCCATCCATCCCCTTCTCAGAGGCTCAGCTCCAGTTCCAAAGCTGGGGCTCGGCTCTGCTTGGCCCTTGGCTGCTGTGTGCCTGGAGGCCTGGGACCTGCGGAGGGGAGGGAGGGCTCTGCGGCTCTTCCTGCCCTGCGCGTGACTGGTGTGGGGATCTCGGGTGGGAACGACTCCAACAGTGATGTCATTCCTGGGTTTTTAGGGGTCGAGGTTTCTTCACGAGCTCCGAAAGACACATGTGCATTTGGAGCTGTAAATGCCTGTCTCAGGCCAGCTGCCATGTGCACCCGGCCTCCATAGCCACCACTGTCTCCCGGGAAGGAAGCAGCCTTCCAGGTCCGGGCCTCGGATGCTCCTGGGCACTGGCGGCTGCAGACCCCTCCACGGCTCTCGGATCTGCCGAACGGCACCCTCGACTGTGAACGCCCCATTGTTGGACAGGTGAAAGGCCCCCGTGTCGGTGCCTGCTTGCTCCCCATCGGCACTGGCCTCTTCCCCAGCAGGGACCCAGCCTTTATCCCTGCTGTGCGGGCACTCCTGGGGTGCAAAGCCATGTCTCCAGGCTGTGGTGACAGGCGCCACGCACAGAGCCAGGAGCTTGCTGTGTCCTCCCTCGGAGGGAAGGGATACAGGTCAGTGCAGCCCAGTCACCAACCCAGGATTCCATCCACACACCTCCTGAAGAATTCCCCATCTGTGGCAGAATGGCTTCTAACTCAAGGTCATGAGTCCTTCCTGCTCAGGGGTCACGTCAGGATCAGCAGCCAGTGTGAGCCGATGGCTCCGGATGTCGACCTGATCGCTGGTGTTGCTGCTCAGGTGGGGAAGGGCGCGCTCCTGGAGGCAGCATCATGCCGAGGGCTTGGGCAGCTCCCAGGAACTTCGTCTGGCCTGTGTGTGGCTCTGCCCCAAATACACGGTGTCTCAGCTGCCTGTGCTCAGGACATGCTGCTGCGTGTTCTAGCCTCGGATTTGAGCATTGCTTTCCATCTCCCAGAGCCTTCTGTGTCGGGCTGATCTGCATGCAGAGTTGGATAATGTGTGCTTTCCAGGTGGTCTGTGAATCTGCATCCTCACCCTTGAGCATGCAGAGCCCATACATGCTCTAGAACCTGATGTTTAGGACCAAGGCCAGGAGATTCTTCTGATAGCAACCCCCGTCCTGTGGTAGGCCTCCTTTCCAGCACTGTTAGGTGTTTTGGTTTTCTCTTTAGGTTTGCAATAGTGGATTAAAAAAGAGAGAGAAACATTTGGGGGACATAGACCTACTTGACTTAAGGCTTTGGTGAATTTAGGACAGAGGTCCTCAAACTAGATTGTGCCTCTGCATCACCTTGCGGGGCGTTGGGGGGGGGGTACCGGAAAGTCACCAATTGCAGCCATGCCCACAGCTCTGACTCGGGAGAGACTGTGGGACACAGCCTGAGAATTTGTACTCTCAAGTTCTCAGGAGGGGCAAGTGGGCCAAGTGCTGTAGTAGGTCTTTCAATGTAGTCCCACCTTCTCCCTGACCTTGAGTGAAACCCTGACTTCATGCATGGGTGGATGGGTGGGCGAGTGAATGGACAGATGGGTGGGCGGTCAGTAAGTCTAGATGGTGGGTGGTTGGGTGGATGGGTAGGTGGATGTGAGGATGGACAGATAGAAGAGTTTGCATACGGGGCAGTAAAAATGTAAGTTATATGATATTTGAAGTGATCAAAACTCAGTAGTGGGGGCTAGCATCTTTTAGCTGTCTACACACTGAAAAAACAAATCATTGGTTTGCCTTAGAAGATGAATGAAGAAGGGCATGGATGCACCCACCTATTCCACTGGTTGGAAGTCAGCTGTGCGCACTCTCTGTGGACCAAGCATCTCCTGTGCCTGCTCTGCCCACCCCATCACCTGTCTTCTGCACCAAGCTCACCACAGTCCAAGAACCAGCTGCTAACTCACCCCCTGGGGCGGGGCACTCAGTGCCATCGGATAGCGGAGTCTGTGTGGTTCACGTCCGTCCCCAGAGCGTCCTCCGTGTAGCCCTGGATCCCCATGGCTGTCCAGACAGCATACTAAAAACAAGGGAAGGAGACTTTCCCGCTAGTTCTGTGGCTAAGCTCTGGAGAAGGCCAAAGTGGCAAACAGACGCTCCTTCTGTGCCAGGCCTGGTCTGCAGTTTCTTTGTGGCCAGGACAGATGTTGCCAGACAGAAGGGAGGGGAGTGTGAGAGCACCCCAAACGCCCCGTAACGGCCACTGTGGGCCGTGAGGGGAATGGCGCACTGTGCTTCTGTCTGTATTTGTGGAGTGCGACCTGTGTCTTCTCCTCAGAGGGGTTTTCACTGTTCCTGGGAAGACAGTTCAGTTCTGTGGCTGTCAGTGGTCAGCCCTGATGGAGCCCCTTGGCCAGCTCGTGGCCCTGTGTCCCCAGCCCACACCTAGGGCAGGTGAGCTCAGCTCCACCAGGGCCACCCCTCTTTCCGGATTTTGGTCTGTGCTGGTGCTGCTTGCCGGCATCTCTGTCCGCACCGCCACCTGTGTCCTCTTCCTTTTCAGCAGCTCTCCTCTTGTGCCTACAGGAGCCGGGGCTGCTCCTCTGTCCCTCCTCTGTCCCACAGTGTCCCTGTGGCCCCCAGCCCTGCAGAGAGGCTCATGGCTCTCTCTGACCCCGTAGTCAATGCCCGTGGCCTGGGTACTGTCCAGGTCCCAGTCTGAGGAGGCCCACGTGTGGCTCTCCATGTTGCCCGTACTTTCCCGTTGGTTCTGGGTCCCGACTGCCTATGGGCCTGTGTCCATGGCAGCCAGGCTCAGACAGGGACACTTGCCTCCCAGTGCCCTAACAAGTGCTGCCCCAGGCCCTGTCCTGGGCACTGTGACAGAGTGAGGCAGCTCCTGTGCCTCTGCAGAGCCAGAGTCCTGAGCCATGGCTGCATCTGTCGTGCTGGTGAGAGCCTGTGTGTCCGTCTGTTCAGAGGACCCTGGTGTCTGGGTGTGATGCCTGGCGCCAGCGTGCAGAGGAAATCGCAGCCCTGACTTGGTCTGGCCTCCGAGGGGACGTGCACACTGGGTGTTGCAGGTGGGCACACAAGAAGCATCAGCGTGGTATCCCTGGAGTGGGCCGTGCTGGAGTCGGGCCAAACGCTGCATCCTGAGAGGCTGCGAAGTTGGCATCTCCCCAGGTCTGTGAATTCAGTCCGTGAAGAAGCCAAGACCAGAGTCCAGGCCTCTGGGTCCTCAGTGTCCCCGGGGCTCAGGATGTGCTGGGGGGGGACGCCTAAGCTATGAGGAAACTCTGGGCTTTGGCCCAGGTGGGAACTTGCTGGCAGCAGCTGTACCTGGGCAGCAGCCTTGGTCTGAGGGCCCGCTCCTGTGGGCCAGTGTCACCAGGACACTGAAGGAGAGCACACCCACGCTTCTCACCCAGCAGTGAGCCCTGTGACCTGGCCACTGTCCTTGGAGGGACCGATGGGACCCTGCTTTCAGGTAACTGGGTGCAGACGAGCCCATGTGCACGATTCCGGGTCAGCTAGTGACTGTCACG